ACACACACACACACACATATATATATATATATATATATATATAATTTTGTACTATTTTCAAACATATTTTCTATCAGTGTAAGGCGAATCCGCTGACACAAGGAGACTGAAGATCTTGGGGCTCCTGTGGAGCAGTCGCTTTCATTTTTGCCTAGCCGTAACAGCAGCAGCAGCAACGCTGAACCCTCGCTCAACTAGTGGTTCCCGACAGGACGTGAACGCAGCATTGGCCAGGGGCGGGTAGGCGCTAACCGTGCAGTATGGCGGACGATGGAGACAGTTCGAGCGGACCAGTTGACACAAGCGGTGGGCAGGGGGCAGCGGAGGAGTCGGACGGGCTTGGCCTCGGAGGGATGTTGCTGAATATCAGTATTTTAGTTCTAGTAGCGGTGGTCTGTCTGGTGGTCTACCGACGGTGGGGCAAACGGCTATACTCATACGCGGCCCAGGGCGACGAGGCCTCGGCGCTTCCCAAGATGAGGAGACGGGACTTCACTCTGGAGCAGCTGCGGGAGTACGACGGTATCCAGAACCCCCGCATCCTGATGGCCGTCAACATGAAAGTTTTCGACGTGACCAGCGGGAAAAAGTTTTACGGTAAAGGTGAGTGAGCAGTGGGAAAACGACAATCTTTACGATTGGGTGAGTAAGCTGAGGTGTCCCTGCTTGGGGTGAGTTGTCCCGAACCAAAATTTGGGCGCAAACCGTCGGGGTTAGCCTAGCTCTTCGGCTTTGTCTATGTTTTTGAATGGAGTGCTAGCGGTTAGCTAGCTGCTAGCACGACTTTTCTTTTGGGGTTGTGACTGCAACTAAAGTTGCAGACGTTTTAACCTTATATATATATATTAATGTACCGTAAACCTGTGACACTTTCTGGTTAAAGTTATGCAGCCGGAAGATGATTATTACGTTTTAGCATGCTAGTTTGCTAACACTAGCCTGTTAGCTTGTCGACGTGCACAATGTGCGAGTGTCTGGACTGGACCCGTCGCTTGTTTACAGTGATGGGACTCACAATGCATCAATTCTGGACAGTTTGCATGAATATTTTCACCTCAAATTACCTCAGCACTACTGTACTCGTACTGTATGTTTATTTGCGATTGGGAAAAGCAAGTTTGGGCGCCACTGTGTGAAGTTAAATGGAGTTATAGGGAAGAGAATGGCAAAACACGAAAAGAAGATATGACACGTCTTTCACTTAGACAAAACAAATGTGACGGGCCCACAGCCGTCTAACCTGCTACTCTGCATTTTCTCTGGCTAGGCTGAGTCAGCCGTCAACTCTGCAATAAACTATAATTATTCAAACAGCAGTCTCATGTGTCAGTCTGCTACTTCACACTGAGAGGACCGAGCCAAGCAGGCCCTGAATCTGTCCACCTCACCAAGTTATGACACACTACCAGAGGCTCAGTGGAGCTGGCAGGACCGTGACATAAACTGTAGTGTATATTAGTCACACTGGATTTAATGCTGGAGAAACAGTTGATAGAAAAGTAAAACAAGGCATAATCGATACTAAATTAAAATTAATAAAGATGTGCAACTTGGTAATGGTGGTGTTTTCTGCGGTTCCATCACCACCTTCCTTGTCAGATCTGATGCATTTGTCATTCATTGCGGCATTAAATAGATCCACCCTTTAATCAGAACTTATATTAAGTCACTTGTATCCCTGCAGTTGTAGCTGTCACTCACAGCTGTTGCTCTGTCTTTCAGGCCTTATTCAGGCACTAATGTGGTTCAGTGAGCATTAATTTTTTTGTTACACATCAAGTCAACATGAAAAAAACAGCATGATTCAAATTTAGTAAATGTCTATGTTGCACACTAACGTTTCGTGTGAAGTGCAACAAGCTGGGAGTTTTATCTCTAATCCTCGTGGTTGGTTGTGAAAGGTAAAGAGTACTCCTTATCTTTGAGCTGATTAGCTCTGCTTCATAAACTCTTAAGCGGTGCCAGAGTGAGGATTGATCTGTGTTGGGTTGCACGTTATATGAGAACAAAACCAGAGAGCCTGCAGAGTTTTCACATGTAAGTCAGATGATTCTCCTCTTGGAAGATGATGAAGGATTCAAAACGTGGAGAAAACCTTCAGGAGTTTTATGAGACTGTATATCACTGGTCCCTTTCGAGTGATAATAAACTCGGATATCAGAAGCAGAAGTCCCTTAGTGTAACACATGTCCTTATAAAAATTTATCTCGCTGGCAGATGTTACAAGACTGGGCTGTAACAAAGGCAGGAAGATACTGGATGTGATCTGATTAGATTACAGATCATGTTTGTTTGACTAAAGCCCTCAGTGCTAATAATGTGGTGAGTTTTGTTGCAGGTCGGGTTTAGAGTAACAAATTGTCATAGGTGACAACAGGGACCTATCATTTCTGTGACATTTCTACGGGACAAAAAAATTGTTCTTTTTCAACAACTGCCTATTCATTGCAACTCTGAAGATTTGCATGATATGATTTTTTCTTTCTAATCAGAAGAGTTTGAAGGACTCATTCCTTTTGAGTGGTGTGAACGGGTGAATGTTTGGCATTTCTGCTTGAAAAGTGCCTGTTGACGTGATTAAATTTCTGCTTGAGTAACTGATTAATTGACAGAGTGTTGCAGCCCCAGTTAAACTCTTGTGCAACTCAGGAAATGTACTCCTTAGGTTGCTGATATTGAGTTTTAGATTACAATATGTTCATACCAATCTATCTCCAGACTCTATTAAAAACATCAGAAGTGCTCATTCAGCATCTACAATGTGGATGATTTTAAAAACAAACTATTTTTAATGTATTTATTTAGCAGCTTAATGAACACGTTCATGCGTATTTACTGTTCTCGAAAACGTTTGATGTGAAGCAGCTGCTATAGTCACAAGATGCAAGTCTGAGTTAATTATAAAAGGTTAACTTGTTGCTTTACTGCAACTTCATCTGTATACTTTCCCTTATTCTCAGTAAAACCATGTGATGCTTTTGCGCTGCACACACAGTGGAGCTCAAACACTTTGTTTGTTATTTGATTAGTTAAAGGAGATATGAAAGTACTTTAACACTTACTCATTCTTGCTGTTGTTTGTTTCTCAGATGGTCCTTACGGCATTTTCGCTGGCCGGGATGCTTCGAGAGGCCTGGCCACCTTCTGCCTGGAGAAAGACATCCTGAGGGACGAGTACGACGACTTGTCAGATCTCAGTGCTGTACAGATGGAGAGTGTTAGAGAGTGGGAGATGCAATTTATGGGTACGCTTATGAAGAGAAAATACACTCGTATTGATTTAGCTCAGATTTCACAACAGCACCCATCATATTAAGTGAGGATCCAAATAGCTAGACAGCACTGACTGAGTTTTAATCTTCTGTTTGTATTGATTTCAAGTTTACTTCACTGTCCAAAAAAGCAAGTTTTTTTGCTTTGTTTGTTTTTCCTCGACTGGACCCTCAGGCCTGTCATTTTGGGGGGAAAAAAACACTACTTGCAGTCATTATGTAAGTAGACCCTCACTAAATACTCGTTAGTGACTTATTAGGCTTTTAAAGGTGAGTCAGTGGTGGAAAAACCATCAGTGGACCAAATGGGTCAGCAGCTTCAGTTTGCCCCTTCTTGTAGAAAATATGAAGAAGCAGCTGTAGCTAAGAGCTCTTCATAACTCATTAATCTGCTAATGAAGTAACCTACTGTTTATGCCATATGGGCATTGTTTTGCTTTTTGCCATACACCTACGGTGATGCCATAAAGTGTCTTATTTACTCTTTAAACAGACAAATTACTCTGTGTGATATAAAGATCAGAAGTAGTACACTGTCAAATTATATCAGCAGTTATTTTCACTATGGACTATTTGCAGTCTGTAGTTAAAAACCTGCAGTTAATTAAAATCTTTTTTTAAGAAAGGGAGGTGTTGAAGGATTTGAAGCTACAAAATTATTTATACTATTGTTATTCATTGATTATCCATAGACTTGAAGTCATTTCAGCTCTGAATGTTTGTTGGTTGTCTGGAGTTGAAAGAAACTTTGGAGTGAACTTGAAAGAGACATGCAAAAAAACAAAAACATAAAAAACCCTGAAAATATCTCCTGCCACCACATCTGCAGCAGAGCAGTTAACAACAGGAAGCACTGAAACTGGAAGGAAACAAAGGCCTTCAT